CAGAGTCTCTGTGTGTCCCAGGCTGGAGTGCAGTGGTGCGATCTCAGCTCACTGCAACCTCTGCTTCTTGGGTTCAAGCGATTCTCCTGTCTCAGCCTCCTGAGTAGCTGGGAACCACCCATGCCACCATGGTGGCGCACGCCACCATGCCCAGATAATTTTTGTATTTTTAGTAGAGATGGGGTTTCACCATGTTGGTCAAACTGGTCTCAAACTCCTGACCTTCTGATCTGCCCACCTCAGCCTCCCAAAGTGCTGAGATTATAGGCATGAGCCACTGCACCTGGCCAGATTTCTGTTTCATAATCCTGGATTTCTGTCTCTCTCTTTTTTTCCGACTCAGTTACAATTACAGCCATGCATTGCTTACTGGTGGGAATACCTTTTGAGAAGTGTGTCTTAGGGTGATTTTGTCATTGTGTCAACATCATAGAGCATGCTACAAAACCTAAATGGTATAATATAGTATATACCTGGGCTGTGTGGTATAGCCTATTGCTCCTAGACTGCAGGACTGTATAGCATGTTATTGTACTAAATATTGTAGGCAATTGTAACACAATGGTAAGTATTTATGTATCTAAACATAGAAAATATACAGTAAAAATATGGTATAAAACATTAAAATTGGTACACTTATATAGGGCACTTATCAGTGGAGGACTAGAAGTTACTCTGATTGAGTCAGTGAGTGAGTGATGAGTGAATGTGAAGGACTAGGATATTATTGTACACTACTACAGATAGAGTATATTATACTTTATAAACAATGTACACTTAGGTTACACTAAATTTATTTAAAAATTAATTAGTTATGCTATGATGTTAAAATGGCTATGATGTCACTAGACAATAGAGAATTTTCAGCACCACTATGATCTTATGGGGCCACTGTCATACATGCAGCCCATCATTGACTGAAACGTCATTATGCAGAGCATGACTATACCATCTCTGTACAGGCCTGGTGACTTTCTTATGTCTGCATGGCCAGTAAAATCTGCATCCATTTTATTATGAAAGACAGCAACCATCTCTACTGTTCTTCCCTCCCAAGCAACTATAGCATGAAGCACCTTATTATCAGTCTGGGTTTACAAGAATTGGATCTTTGCATGTTTGTTTTACTTTCTTGACAACTGGATTTTTTTTTTTTTTTTTTTTTTTTTTAATAAATGTTTCTTTGAGCATTTACTGATGTTTTGTACTGGAAGGATTTCCTGTTTTTTTGGTCTACCACATTTCCAGAAGTAGAAGCCAAAATGTGTTTATTGCTCTTTCCAGAAATCCGTTTTTTTCCTTCTTCGAGGAATCCTATATCTTTAGAAGGAATGCAGTTCAGTTCAGCAAACAATATTGATTGCCTTCTATGTACCAATGACTATTTATGGAAATCGTTAGTTTTATAGCAGAATTCTATCTTCCTTCAAAAAATAAAACAAACATGTTTATCTTTCTTACCATCCTTCTGCAACTATTAATTAAAAGGATTACATTATATAAAACGAGTCAGCAGATAAGTTCCTGTACTTTAGATAAAATTCCTGCCTTCAGGTGAAATTCTGGCACCTAAACTCTTGCTATTAGCAAAGTATGGATGGATTATGTTACCATTGTTAATACATGTATGCACTCGACACACACAGAAGGTAAGTGGACAAGTTACATCAAAGTTCACATTTTTTCAAAATTGTGTATTTTTCTTTGTGTTTAGATTTTCTTCTACCTCAGTTTAAAAGATGTTATAATATGTGGTCAAGTTAATCGTGCCTGGATGTTGATGACACAGCTAAGCTCACTGTGGAATGCTGTAAGTAGATACTAACTGAACTGTCTTTACACTAGTTCTTAAAGGAGAGTGGACTGTTGTAAAGCAACTGTTGTGGGTATACCTTCTTCCCTGCTCTGTGGTCACTAGCAGCAAGTGAATTTGGTTTCTTTTGTCCAGGCACAAGCCTGGGAGAAGAGATAAAAAAGATAATAATGCTATTTTAAGAGATACATCATTAGTATTTTAAAATGTAAATGGTAGATATAAATGAATGTCATTTTTGGATTGAAACAAAGCTCCATTTTATTGGATAGTTTGTACCCCATTCTGGTTTTATTATTTATTGTATGCCTGCTTCCTTTTCATGAGCGCAGACTATATATTGAGTCCATGACTATGGGAAAGATGTTTAGAGTATGAGGTGTGCAATGGCCTTTACATAACTCATAATTTTTGGAAGGGTTAGTTCCATTAAAAAGAGGATTATAAGGATGAACTTAGTGTACCTGGATGATGGTATAAAAATTGGCAAGAGCAGAGGTTTTTGGAGTGGTCAGGGCTGATTGATAAACAATAACATTGATATCTTAATATTGCTAATGTTGTTAGCCAGAAGTTTAAGTTTTCGAACATCCAGTTGCCTGTGAACAGGCAGTTTCTCATTACCTTTTGAATAAAGCTATTGTTTGTGCTAAAAATGCTTGTTATAATTGTGCCACATTTGAACTCTCACAAAAGCAGAAATAAGAGGAAGGAGCAATATACAGTTGTGGAAAGAGAAATTTGCTGAACATAAAACAGCTTAGCTTCCTACCCTGGCTTTGTTCCTCATTGCCATGTGCTTATAATATTCTCCGTCTTTATATATATATATATATATATATATATATAATATTGCATTTTAGGTCTTGGGGTACATGTGAAGAACATGCAAGATTGTTGCATAGGTACATACATGGCAGTGTGGTTTGCTGCCTTCCTCCCCATCACCTATATCTGGCATTTCTCCCCAGTTATCCTTCCCCAACTCCCTACCCCGTGCTGTCCCTCCCCTAGTTCCCCCCCACAGACTCCATTGTGTGATGCTCCCCTCCCTGTGTCCATGTGTTCTCATTGTTCAACACCCACCTATGAGTGAGAACATGCGGTATTTGATTTTCTGTTCTTGTGTCAGTTTGCTGAGAATGATGGTTTCCAGGTTCATCCATGTCCCTACAAAGGACATGAACTCATTGTTTTTTAGGAATTCCATTTGACCCAGCAATCCCATTTCTGGGTATATAGTCAAAGGATTATAAATCGCTCTATTATAAGGACACATGCACATGAATGCTCATGGTGGCACTGTTTACAATAGCAAAGACTTGGAACCAACCCAAATGCCCATTGATGATAGACTGGACATGGAAAATGTGGCACATATATACCATGGAATACTATATAGCCATAAAAATCGAATATTCTCCGTCTTTACCCATTAAGGTCTCTGGACAGGAGTGTTGGCTTTTTCTGACTCCTGCCAGCTTCTGCAAGACATGTCCTGATCTAAATGTTATATATATTCTTTCTCCTCTAGACCATTTAGATTCATTTTTTCTTTCTTTCTAGGTTTTCCAAAGGAAAAAGCAACATCCCCAAATATCTATAACATAATTTAGAGATTTATTACTTTAAGCCAGCGGTTCTCAAAGTGTGGTCCTGGGACCAGTGGTATCAGCATCACCCAAGAACTTGCTGGAAGTGCAAATTCCTAGGCCCCATCCCAGACCTACTGAGTCAGAAACTCTGAGGGCTGCAGACAGTAATCTGTTTTAACAACCCCGCTAGATGATTCTGTTACAGGGTGAAGTTTGAGAATTACTGCCTTAAACTAAAAATAAAATTAATACAGGAACACCTAATTTGTTAGCTAAGGTAGGTTTGGTAATATGAAATCAATTCTCTTCTTGCCATTGTTGCATAGAGTGGGAGTAGAACAGTGCAGCCAAGAATGAGATGGTGTCCTGATGCGATGTAAAGATGTTGAGTTAACTTATGAAGCTAGAGCCCCTGACGCCTTCTCAAGTCCTTTTAGTTTCTTTGAGTAAGTTTTAGAGCTTCTACAAAATGGCTCCAGGCCCCCTATTCATAGGTCAGTCTGAGCACATGATATCATCAGTCCTTAAATCATTAGTAATAAGGAGGGATCATGAAGTTAGCTATTGACTGGACTTTAGACAACAGAGAAAATGTTGTCACTAAACATTGGTTGATGGCGTAAATGACCATGTTTGTTGAGATTAAAGTATCTTGCAAGAAATAGGTAAGAAAAGTTGTTGGGACATACGCTTATTTGCTTATTTTTTATTGTTGGCTGAGTCCTCTACCCAATGTCTCTTTGGAATGAGAAACACAAACATGTTTCAGGTTAAAAAATAGTACTGTGGCAGCCAGGCACGGTGGCTCATGCCTGTAATCCCAGCACTTTGAGAGGCCAAGGCAGGCGGATCACCTGAGGTTGGGAGTTCAAGACCAGACTGATCAACATGGAAAAACCCTGTCTCTATGAAAAATACAAAATTAGCTGGGCGTGGTGGTATGTGCCTGTAATGCCAGCTACTTGGGAGGCTGAGGCAGGAGAATCGCTTGAACCCAGGAGGCAGAGGTTGTGGAGCTGAGATTGCACCATTGCACTCCAGCCTGGGCAATAAGACAAAACTCTGTCTCCAGAAAAAAAAAAAAATGCTGTTGCAAGAATAGTACATAAGTGCCAGCCTAGGAGTTCATATTAGAAAATGCCAGAGTGACTGTGTTTCTGCATGCATGAAGACACACTAAATATGTCAATATGCTTTATGTGTTGTGTATTTTAGTTCTATTCCATGCTTTTTAAAATTTCTGTATGCCATATTTTTTGTGCTTTGTCGTGTCTTTTTGAAGTAATAATAGTAGCTAATATTTATTGAATGCTTCCTGTATGTCAGATGCTACACTGCATCGGTAGCATCTCAGTTTGCATTTTCTCAGTTTGTCTCTGCAGCGTCCCAAGTTAGGCACTGTTATTTTTCCCATTTTACAGATGAGGAAAACTAAACCTTAGTTAAGTCATAGCCATCGTTGTTAAATGGCTAGAGTAGGATTCAAATTTGGATCTGTCTGACTACAAAGTGGTTGTTCTTAGTTATCAATGATTTATGAGGGAATGCCAGGTCTACCATTTGCTTTTCCCATAACTGGCAGCATAGAATTTCTCCTCTTCAGGTTCTTTTACAATGATATAACCTTGAGCTCTAAAACCCAACTCTCACAAAACGCTTGGCATTAACGAGTAATATTCATAAAGAGTTCAGGTCCAGTAAGTCCTCTAGATACTGTGCATTTTGTCCCTGAATTGAAACAGCCAATCAGAGAGTAGCACACTTTGACTCTATTACTTTAGATTTTCTCTTTCCGAGTTATGCTTTTTTGCCCTGAATTCAGCTTTTGTTCATTGTTTTGTTGTATGGAAGCCCCTCAATTGATTTAATCTGTCTTCTAGCAAAAGACATTTAGGTTGTTTCCCATCTTCTGTTAATAAAATCCTGTGGTGAACATCCTGTTTCTCAGTGTTTTGTTGTATACATGTATGGTTATGTCTGCAGGATAAATTCCTAGTAGAATTGCTAAGGCAAAGATTTGATTTGTTTATAATTACAAAATTGGCTGGGTGCAGTGGCTCATGCCTGTAATCCCAGCACTTTAGGAGGCTCAAGCAGGCGGATCATTTGAGGTCAGGAGTTTGAGGCCAGCCTGGTCAACATTGTGAAACCCCATCTCTACTAAAAATACAGAAATTAGTCAGGCTTGGTGGCAGGTGCCTGTGATGTGATGATTTACTTCAAAATATTTTAAATTTTTACATGAAACAGGTCTTATTTCTTTTCAAATAATTTCAACTTTGAGTTTAGATATAAGGGGTACATGCTCAGGTTCGTTACCTGGGAATATTATGTGATGCTAAGATTTGGGGTACATATCCCATCACCCAGGTAATGAGCATAGTACCCAATAGGTAGTTTTTCTAAACCACCCCCATCTTCTGGTAGTCCACATAAATATGCAGATATGCTCCCATATTTATGTTCATGTATGCTCGATATTTAGCTTCCACTTGTAAGTAAGAACATGCATTATTTTGTTTTCTGCTCCTGCATCAATGCTTGAGATGGTGGCCTCCGGCTCCTTACGTATTGCTGCAAAGGACACAATTTCATTCTTTTTTATGGCTATGTAGTATTATATAGTGTATATCTACCACTTTTTCCTTATTCAATCTACAATTGATTAAATAAAAGGGATTCCACATCTTTGCTATTGTGAATAACACAGAGATGAACATATGAGTGCATGTGTCTTTTTGGTAGCATGATTTATTTTTCTTTGGCTGTATACCCAATAATGGGATTACTGGGTTGAATGGTAGCTCTGTTTTAAGTTCTTTGAGAAATCTCCAGACTGCTTTCCACAGTGGGTAGACTAATTTACATTCCCCCCAATGGTGTATAAGTGTTCTCTTTTCTCCACAGCTTTGCCAGCATCTGTTGTTTTATGACTTTTTAATAATAGCCCTTCTGATTTTTTTTTTTTTTTTTTTTTTTTGTGGCAGTCTTTGCTCTGTCATCCAGGCTGGAGTGCAGTGGTCTGATCTCAGCTCGCTGCAACCACCACCTCTCAGGTTCAAGCAATTCTTGTGCCTCAGCCTCCCAAGTAGCTGGGACTACAGGTATGCGCCACCATGCCTGGCTAATTTTTGTATTTCTAATAGAGACAGGGTTTCGCCATGTTGGCCAGGCTGGTCTTGAACATCTGGCCTCAAGTGATCCACCTGTTCGGCCTCCCAAAGTGCTGGGATTGCAGGTGTGAGCCACTGTGCGCAGCCTCATTGTGGGTCAGTTTGCATTTATATGTTAATTAATGATGCGGAGCATTTTCTCATCTGTTTCCTGGCCACTTGTATGTCTTCTTTTGAGAAGTGTCTTTTGATGTTCTTTACCTATTTTTATGGGGTTATTTGTTTTTGGCTTGTTGATTTAAGTTCCCTACAGATTCTGGATATTAGGCCTTTGTTGGCTGCATAGTTTGCAAATATTCTCCCTCATTCTGTAGGTTGTCTGTTTGCTCTATCGATAGTTTCTTTTGCTGTGCAGAAGCTCTTTAGTTTAATTAGGTCCCATTGTCTATCATTCTTTTTGTTGCAATTGTTTTTGGGAACTTTCTCGTTTCTTAATGCATTTTGTTTATTCTTTTTAGATTGATTTTTCCACAGTGAAACATGTGATTCCAGATAAATATATAGTGTCTACTTTGCAAAGGTGGCGTTTAAATGTACTGCGTTTGAATTTTCGTGGTTGTCTTCTCCGACCCAGAACTTTCAGATCTGCCAGTAAGTATGTTCATTACAACTATTTGTCTTTCTTTCCTGTATTACAATTAAACAAATTTATGGAAAAGCATAGATAAAAAGGAAACTTCAGTGACAGTTTTAGGTCATAAGGTTATCAATTATAAGACTATTTTAAAAGTGTATAATACAGTATAGCTCTTACTGTTTTGTGTGCCCTAGGAGTTGGTTCTTTGTCTCTTCTTTTTTTTTTTTTTTTTTTTTTTTAAGACAGAGTCTCACTCTGTCACCCAGTGCAGTGGCATGATGTTGGCTCACTGCAACCTCTGGCTCCTGGGTTCAAACAATTCTCATGCCTTGGCCTCCTGAGTAGCTGGGACTACGGCATGCACTACCATGCCCAGATAATTTTTTGGTGTTTTTAGTAGAGACCAAACTTCAGCATGTTGGCCAGGCTAGCCTTGAACTCCTGACCTCAAGTGATCCACCCGCCTCTGCCTCCCAAAATGCTGGGATTACAGGCGTGAGCCACCATACACGGCTGGTTCTTTTTCTACTCTTGACTACTCTTTTGAGGTGTAGTATTTATGTATTTATGGATCATCAATTTTTCTACTAAAAATATTTAACAGATTCTCATTTTTAAAAATCTAACAAAGGCAAGTAAAACCATCTTTTTTCACCTCCCTCAAACCCATTCACTTACTCAAAGGCATCCAATGTTTTTAGTTTTCTGTTTTTCTAAAATAAATTTCTACATATGTGATTAAAAATACACAATTTTAATTTTAACATGAAAGGAGTCATATTGTTTTATATTTTCTTTTATGTCCTGAAAAATTTTTCCATGTCAGTACATATAGACCCACTAAATTATTTTTAAATACTGTAAAATTATTTTCTATATTATAGATGTAACATACTTTATTTAACCTACTTCCTTTTGATGGACATTGAGATTATTTCCAATTTTTTCCAAGCTGACTGCTTTGTACTTCCATTGTGATATTTGTCTTTAACCTATATATCCTTTGAGATGTATTTTCTATCACATATGTATTTTTGGAAATGAAGAAAACAATATATTCAAAAAAAAGTATACATTCATATTGACTCCAGATAACGAGAAAGAATGTCATATACATGTGCAAATACCAGTTGGATACATTCTAAAGATATTAAAGGGTAAAATCAGGTAGCATGAGAGAGATATATATTATATATAAAATCTAATACCAATTGTATATAACTTCAATTTGCAAAATTATATATATTTTTACCTTTTATTTTGAAATAATTTTAAACAATATATATTATTATAGATTTTTAAGGACACACATATAGTGACATATAAAAAGCATGCATGAGAAAAAAACTCCAAATGCAAGACAGTGGTTGTGCAAGTAGACAGAGAGCGTTTAATGGAATGGGGAAGAACTGCACAAGGAGTTTCAACTGTGTCTGTAGATTTTTTATTGAAAAAATAAATTATACAAAATGTAATAATTCTGATTGCTTATTGCTGGTGCTATACAAAGTTGTAGTTTTTTGTATGATGTATCTGACCATGTATTAAGCTCTCTTCTTGGTTTTAATAGTTTGTCAATTGATTCTCTTGGATTTTCTTCCTTTCCTTTCCTTTCCTTTCCTTTTTCCTTTCCTTTCCTTTCCTCCTCTTTCCTTTCCTTTCCTTTCTTTTTTCCTTTTTCCTTTCCGAGACAGAGTTTCACTCTTGTTGCCTAGACTGGAGTGCAATGGCGTGATCTCGGCTCATCACAAACTCCGCCTCCTGGATTCAAACCATTCTCCTGGCTCAGCCTCCTGAGTAGCTGGGTTTACGGGTGCCTACCACCATGCCCAGCTAATTTTTGTATTTTTAGTAGAGACAGGGTTTCACCGTGTTGGTGAGGCTGGTCTCGAGCTCCTGATCTCATGATCTGCCCACCTCGGCCTCCCAAAGTGCTGGGATTATAGGCGTGAGCCACTGTGCCTGGCCAGTCTCTTGGATTTTCTAAGTAGACTGTCATATCTGGGAATATTGACAGTTTTATTTCCATTTATGCCTATTCTTATATCTTTTTTCTTTTTCTCATTTTATTACTTTGCTTAGGACCTTTTTTGCAATGTTGAAAAGTAGCAGGGATATGCAGGAGTCTTGCTCATTGCTCCTTTTTCATATTTTTAATGAGAATAATGTTAATATTAATACATCTTTTAATTTCTGGGATTCATCCTGTATGGGGATATAATTCGGTTTTCACTTTTACAGCAGCCGTGCCCTGCATGTTCCTCATTCTGTTCACGTCTGCCTTTGGATTTTTAGGAACTATTAGTTTCTGATCCACCAAGGCCATTCTTTCTTTGTCTTCCAGGCATGTTGTACATTTTTGAAAAAAAAAAAAAAAATCATCCTTGGATTTTGGGCAGAAGAGAGAAACTGAACATGTGCTCAGTCTCCCATTTTTAACTAATTTATTATGTTTGTGGTAATAAAAAGTTGATAAAATAATTATAAACCTTAAAATGTTAGCCACCCAAACTTGCCCTCTCTGTGTCTCTGTTTTTGTCTGTCTCTCTCTCTCCCTCTTTTTCTATTAGTATATGTATATACACACATATTACACACACACACACACACACACACACACACACACGAAATATACGTAGAAAATATATGATTAAATGAATCTACATTTTCAGAAGGAAGGAAACGAACTCAAGGTGTAACATTCAGGGTTTCAGTTTGACCTAAGAGTTTCATGATAAGAATGGTAGTTGAACAGTGGAATGAGTTTCTGAGAAATGTCAAGGCATGCTTATCTAGAAGCTTTTGTTTATTGAGATACATTTTATGTAACATAAAATTCACCTTTTTAACCATTCTAAAGAGTACAGTTCAGGGGTTTTTATTATATTAACAATGCTGAGCAACCATCACTAGTTAATTCTAGAACATTTTCATCAGCCCAAAAAGAAAACTCATACCCATTTTGCCTTTTATTTCTTTATTTTACACAATTGCTCATTGAGGAAGCTCCCATATGTTCCTACTTTGCTGAATGTTCTTATTATAAAAGAGTGATGGGAGATTTTGTCAAATGTGTTTTCTGAGTCAATTGAAATGGTTTTCCCCTCCTTCCTTCTATTCATATTGTATATATTACATTAATTGATTTTTATCTGTTGAACCACCCTTGGATTCCTGAGATCAGTCTCACTTGTTCATACATCATGGTGTATAACCCTTTTAATATGCTGCTGGATTCTATTTGATAATATTTTGTTAAGGATTTTTGCATCTATATTTAAAAGGAGTATTACGCTGTAGTTTTTCTTTCTTGTGATGTCTTTGGCTTTCTTATCAGGATAATATTGGCTTCATAGAATGAGGTAGGAGGTATTTTTTACTTGTATTTTTTGGGAAGAGTTTGAGGATTGGTGTTTATTAGCCTTTAAATGTTTGGTAAAATTTGCCCATGAAGCCATCTGGTCCTAGGCTATTTGTTGGAGGCTTTTTCTTTTTTTAGATGGAGTTTTGCTCTGTCATCCAGGCTGGAGTGCAGTGGCACGATCTTGGCTCATTGCATCCACTGCCTTCCAGGTTCAAGTAATTCTCCTGCCTCAGTCTCCTGAGTAGCTGGGATTACAGGTATGTGCCACCATGCCCAGCTAATTTTTGTATTTTGAGGAGAGATGGGTTTTCACCATGTTGGCCAGGCTGGTCTTGAACTCTTGATCTCAAGTGATCCAGCCTCCCAAAGTGCTGGGATTATAGGCATGAGCCACCGCACCTGGCCTTGTTGGAGGTTTTTTGATTGCTGATTTTGTATTACTTACCATAGATCTATTTAGATTTTCTGTTTCTTCTTGAGTGACTTTTGGTAGTTTATGTGTTTCTAGAAATTTGTCAGTTCCATGTAGTCTATCTAATTTTGGGGGGTACAACAGTTCATAATATTCTCTTATGATCCTTTTTATTCCTTGTAAAGTCAGTACCAATGTACTCACTTTCATTTTTAATTTAAGTAATATTAGTCTTCTCTCTTGTTTTCCTGGTCAGTCTAGGTAAAGGTTTGCGATTATTTCAAACAACCGTTTGGTTCTCTTTTCATTATTGTAAAAAATACATATAACATGGCCAGGTGCAGTGGCTCATGCCTGTAATACCAGCACTTTGGGAGGCCAAGGCAGGTAGATCACCTGGGGTCTGGAGTTCAGGACCAGCCTGATCAATGTGGAGAAACCCCATCTCTACTAAAAATACAAAATTAGCCGGGTGTGGTGCCGCATGCCTGTAATCCAAGCTACTCAGGAGGCTGAGGCAGAAGAATCGCTTGAACCTGGGAGGTGGAGGTTGCAGTGGGCTGAGATCATGCCATTGCACTCCAGCCTGGGCAATAAGAGCGAAACATCGTCTCAAAAAAAACTAAATAAAAATAAAACTTGCCATTTTAACCACTTTTGTATGTACAGTTCTGTGGCATTAAGTATATTCACATTGTTGTGCCACCATCATCACTGTCCATCTCCAGAACTTTCATCTCACAAAACTGATAGTCTGTACCCATTAAGTACTAAATCCTCTTTTCCTCCTCCTTCTAGATCCTGGCAACCACCATTCTACTTTCCATCTCTGAATTTGATGACTCTAGGTGCCTTACATAAGTGAAATCAAACAATAATTGTTTTTGTGCCTGGCTTACTTCACTTAGCACAATGTCTTCAGGGTTTAATATTTTATTGTATGTATGTACCACATCTTGTTTATCCATTCTTCCATTAATAGACACTAAGGTTGCTTTAATCTTTCAGGTGTTGTGAATAATGCTACTATAAATATGGATATTTAAAAAAATCTTATTTTTATTAGTTCTCTATTGTTTTTCTATTTTCTATTTTGCTTATCTCCACTCCAATATATATATATTTTGTTTTTGGAGAGAGGGTCTCCCTCTGTTGCCCAGGCTGGAGTGCACTGGCATGATCACAGCTCACTGCAGTCCCAACCTGCTGGGCTTAAGTGAGCCTCCCACCTCAGCCAC